GCCATCTCACCAGTCCTGTTTGTTTTGTTTTGTTTGAGACATGGTTTCTTATATCCATGGTTGGCTTTTTCTTTCTTTCAATATTTTATTTATTATTTTTATTTTGTGTGTATGAGTGTATTGCTTTCATGTAGGTAAGTGTACCCGTGTCATGCAGTGTCCATGGAAGTCAGAGAGGGCATCAGATCCCCTGGAACTGGAGTTACAGATGGTTGTTAGCCACCATATAGGTGCTAGGAACAGAACCTGGGTCCTCTGCAAGAGCAGCCAGTGCTCTTAATTACTGAGCCATCTCTCCAGCCCTGGCTTTGAACTTTCTATGTAGTCAAAGATGAACTTGAAGGCTTTATAATGCTTTAATATTTATTTATTTATTTATTTATTTTTAGTGTATGAATATGTGTGCACTATCAAGGGTGTCTGTGGAGGTCAGAGTGCAATTTGCATAAGCTGATTCTCTCCTTCCATCATGTGGGTCCCAGGGATTAAACTAAGGTCATCAGCCTTATTGGCAAGGGCCTTTACCTGATGTACCAGCTTGTCAGTCCAACTTCTGTTCCTTCTGAGTGCTGGGACTACAAACGTAGATCACCACACTCTGTTTAAACAGCAAATCAAACCCAGGACTTTATGCATGCTAAGTAAGCACTCTACTGAGCTACATTTTCTAGCCCTCAAAATAGACTTTGAGTCCTCTCATCACCCTGTGTTTCTGGAAGGGTGGTATCAATTTTTTACCCAGCACTACATGTAATTACCATTTACCTAAAACCTTCCCTACCTTGGTTATCATCATGTAATTTTTATCATGCTGATGAGAAGAATGGTTTTGCATTGATTTTAACAATTTCCATCTTGAATATACTTTATTAATATTGCTCACATCTATTTCTTCTGGAGAAAATTGCCTGCTCCTCGCCTTAGTTCCTGTTTCTACTGAAATGTTCATTTTACTTTATTGCTTAAAAGATTTGTTTTTACAAAAAAAATAACTTTTAATCTGTGAAATAGGAAAGAAACATTTCAGCATGATTACAATTTGCTTTTAAATCTTATCATCATGTTTTGGGGTAATGTCCAACTTTTAATCTGTGATACTGAGATCTATCATTCTTCCCTGTATAGTTGAGATAATGATTAGAAAGTTCTGGAGCTGTGGGGTGTAGCTCTCTGGTAGACTACCAGCTTAGAATGCCGAAGCACCTGAATTGAAAAAAACAATCAAATCAAACTCTCAGGATGCAGATGTGAGAGTCAGCTACATTGTAAGTAAGACTCCTACACTGCGGTGACAGTTTTGCTGTCTCTCTCTTTCTCCTTATCTCCTCTGTCTCCTCTTTTTTCTTGTGCTGCTGGGGACCAAACAAACGCAGGGTGTTACACATGATAGGCAAGAACTCTACCACTGAGCTGCACCCCCAACCCTTGATTTTTTGAAATAGGGTCTCACTTTGTGGCCCAAGCTGGCCTCAACCTTACATTCCTCCTGACTTAGCCTCCCCAGGACTGGGATTATACAACATGCTTGGTGATCGCCCCCCACCTTTGCTATCTAGTTTTTTTTTTTAATTTAAATTTTATTTTTGTTTTATGTGTATGAGTGTTTTGTCCGTGTGCATGTAAGTGCACTCATGTCATGCACAGAGGCTGGAAGATGATGTCGGATCCCCTAGAACTGGAGTTACAGATGATTATTAGCCGCCATATGGGTACTGGAAACTGAATCCATGTCCTCTGAAAGAGCAACCAATGCTCTTAACCACTGAACCATCTCTCCAGCCCCATAGTTTTTATTTTTAAATTGAACAAATAAACACTAAAGACCTTGTAACTCCCTTAATATATCTATATGGAGTAGAAAAATATGCATTTTACATGAAGAGCCAGAATTCTTTTACGTTATTTACTTATTTTATTTTATTCAGAGATAGGGTCTCATATGTCCCATGATGACCTGGAACTCGCTATGTAGCCAAGGAATGACCTTGAACTTCTGGTCCTCCTGCCAGCACCTCCTGAGTGCTGAGATTACAGGTGTGAGCCACCATGCCCAGTTTATGTGGCCTAGAGTTGGAACCCAGAGCTGTGCACACACTAGGCAAGCACTCTACCAAGTGAGCTACATAGCCATTCTGCTGTACTTTTAATATCAATACCTCATACTTATTGTGCACTAAGCTCTTATGTACAGTATTTTGTAAGTCCACACAATGACCATTCAAGATAGGTGCTGTCCCACCACACTAGTTTGTAGGTGGTTGGAGTAAATCTCTAGTGGGCCCGATTCAAGGTGCACTCCTGGCTCTCGCTTTATTGATGTGGGTGAATTGGTTCAAGATGACTTAAGCCACGCTGACGTGGTGTCTTTGTTTGGGGGTAGGGTTGTTTTGTTTCGTTGTTGTTTGTTTTCCTGCTGTTGTGGTAAAATACCTTGACAAGAGCAGCTTAAAGAAGAAAGGCTTTATTTTGACTTGTAGCCCCAGACTCAAGTCCCTTTGGGCATCAGGGAAGACATGTTGTCAGCAGCAGGTGGTTTACTGATCACACTGCATCCACACAGGAAGCAGAGATGGAACAGAAAGTGGGACTGGGCTATAAAACCTCAAGGCCCAGTAAACCAAGTTCTCTGGTAAGACTCCAGCCCTAAAAATCCTATGGTCTGGGTGTTCAAATCCAGAGAGAAAATGGGATGTTTCACATTCTAACTACTAAGCATGACTTGCCTTACGGCCCCCAGGATGGGTGCCTGGAGGATCCCAGAAACAGCCATGACAGGGTGACCTTCATTCCTGTCTGGGTCAGTATGGGACACCTCTGAAGGGTGCAAGGCCAGTCCAGGCTGAGGTCAGATGCCCTCTGAGGGTCTTAAGGACATTTCCCCTGAGATTGGAAAGAGTCTGATCCCCTGTCTGTAGACTTGTCTGCAGCCCAGTGTCCACTGACCCCTCACCCACTCCTTTTCCATCTCCTGTCAGACACCCACAGCTCCTGTCCTAACCTCATTTCCTGGACCAAGTGTGTTCAAAGCCAGCTCTTCAGGCTTCTATACTGTGCAGTTTATTTTCACCTCAGGTGTGTACAGACCATCCTCGAAGTCTTTCAGAGAAACACCTCACCCTCTCAGGGCACAGGAAGGCCACACTCCACATCCTGCCCTGGGCTGCTGCCCACACATTCTCCATTGCTAGCCTCAAAGTTTAACCCATCTTTCCCCACCCCACCATTTAAAACACTCTTTAATGTATTTAAAATGTCATATTTATTACACAGCAACTTGCGATTACACACATAAAGGCCTCATTGTGATTGTATTGATTAAAAGGTATGGAGTTTCATTTAGACAATATGAATAAGTTCCAGAGATCCAGTATACCACCTGAAGACTGGTGTTAATGGTAATATATTCCATACATGCACATTATAAAGAGAACAGACCTTAAATGATTTCACCACAAATACTGACAAGAAGGGGCTGTGGGTAAGACAGCTTGCTGTGCAATCATGAGGACCTCAGTTCAAATTCCCAGCACTCATGTAAAAAGCCAGGCATAACTGTACATGCCTGTAATCCCAGCATTAAGGTGCAGAGACAGGCTGGTCTTGGGAGCTTGCTTTCCAACTATTTTAGCCGAAACATAAGCTTCCAGTTCAGTGGGAGATACTGAATCAAAGCTTCACAGTAGGGAGAAATAAAGGGAGGCACTCCAAGTCTTCTGCCTCCAATTTCACACACATGTACATGTGTACCTGCATACTCACATGCATGCACCACACACTTATCCATACGACCACACCACAAAAACACTGACAAGAATTTGAACGATAGATTAATCAGCTTGATTTAACCACTTCACAGTGTACACATGAGTCATACCATGATGTGGTACAACACAAATCTACACAATCTTTTTTTGAAGAAGGGTCTCCTATATCCCAGACTGGCCCAAACTTATTAAGTAGCCAAGAATGACCTTGAACTTCTGATCTTCCTGCCTCCTCCTCTAAAGTGCTAGGATTATAGACTTGAGCCATCAAACCCAGTTTTATATAGTTCTAGAGATGGAACTCGGCTTCCTACCCGCTAAATAAGCACTCTACCAACTGAGCCCCATCTCCAACCCAATATATACGATCCTTATCTGTCAATTATACCTTCTTAATAAAGCAGAAAAAACAAATGAGTACCGCAGCGGCATTCAGATCGAGTTCCCTTCACCTGTCCTTCCCCAACACTAATTAATAATGATCCCTCCCCCGAAAGTGACCCTATTATTAGTTTGATCAGCAGTTTTCCAGACAACTTCTTGGTTTCTACAGATAGAGTTTCACACAGTTTATATAAGTGAGACTGCATTGGGCATAATCATTAAGTTTAACAAAATGATAAAAAAATTAAGGTCAGAAAAGTTAACAAGATATTTAGAGATCTATCTAGGTATGAATACAAGCTAGGCATTCCTTTCTCTCAAAGATTTTTAACATTATGTGTGTAGGATTTGGAGAGATGGCACAGAGGTTAAGAGCACTGACTGCTCTTGTAGAAGACCTGGGTTTGGGTCTCAGCACCCACATGGTGGCTAACAACCATCTGTAACTCCAGTTCCAGGGGATCTAGTGTCCTCTTCTGTCCTCTGTGGGCACTGCACGACACGGGGGCACTTATATGCAGGCAATACACTCATACACGTAAAATAAAAATAATTATTTAAAAATGTTTTAATTATGTGTGTATGTGTGTGTGTCTATGTGTGGGTCTCTGCAGTGGGGGGTACAAATGCCAAAGGAAGCAGAAGACAGCGTCAGGTCTCCTGGAGCCACTAGATGTGGGTGCTGCAAGAGCAGTACATACGCTTAACAGCTGAGCCATCTCTCCACTCCTGTAGGCATTCCTTTTATTTTTTATTTGTGTGTGTGTGTGTGTGTATGGGTATATGTGTGCACACATGCACACATGCCACCATGCACCTGTGGAGATCAGAGAATGTCTTTTGACATCTGAGATGACTCATCAGGTAAAGGTCCTTGCTGCCAAGCCTGAGGAGTTGAGTTCAGAAGTGGGAGTCAGATCCCCTGAAGGTACAGTTACAGGCAGTTGTGAGCTGCCCAACATGGGTGCTGGGAACCAAACTCAGGTCCTCTGCAAGAGCAGTATGTGATCTTAACTGCTAAACCATCTCTCCAGCCCCCTAACCATTCCTTAACACTCACAAAACAAGTAATGATCATCCTTGTGTATTTCTTTGGTGCCCATGTGAATAGAGTGGAAATCCATAAGTCAAATGATACGTTCATTACATTTCTTTAAATTTTTGTCTTTTGAGACAGGGTCTCCCTGTAGCCCCAGCTGTCCTGGAACTCACTATGTAGACCAGGCTGGCCTTGAACACACAGAGATCCACCTGCCTCTGCCTCTTGAGTGCTGGGATCAAAGACGTGCGCCACCACGCCCAGTTCACTACATTTCACAGATCTTTTTTATTTATGTTCAGTAATGCCAAACAATTTCTCTTTTCACTTTAAACATACAATGGTGTCTGTTTCTCTGCACCCTGACAGAGTGTGAATAAATTTTAAATATTTGCCCAATTAATGAATAAACTAATACTGCAATTTGCTTTTAATTTGTAAGTGGCTGGTGACTAAATTCTTTTAAATATCTCTGAGAATATTTATTCCAGTTATTTAAAGGTTCCTGTCCAAAGGGCTAGAAAGCTGGTTTGGCAGTTACGAGTGCTCACTGCTCTTGCAGAGGATCTGAGTTCAGTTCCCAGCACCCACATCAGCTTACATTCACTTGTAACTCCAGCTCAAGGAGAAGCGATGAAAAAGATGCAAGTCCTTCATCTGTTTAGGTTTCTGTGTCCTCTGTGCACAGGTAATAGAGTTGAGTATACAGAGGAAAGCCTAGCCTGGATTCCTGGGACCCCACTCCTCTACCCCGTCCTATCCCTCCCCACTGTCCCTTCTCAGAACCCCTACTCAGGGCTCTCTCTGAATGCCCCCACATTTGCCAGGAACCCTGCCTACATATCTATATATCTACATATCTCTCCTGGGACTGAATCTCCACCTCTCTCCCCTCCTCTCAGCATTCGTAAACACTCCCAGAGTAGAAACGTGACAGTGGACCTATCAGACATCCTGGCCAGGAAATCTCTGACCACCCCTGGGACAAGTCAATCCACCAGGCAGCCTGGCCAGGAAGTCTCTGACCACCCCTGGGACAACTGATCAGACCTTGTCCAAGTGGCCCTGAACTTGCAGCTCAATTTCAGCCTTCCTTTCCCTGGAGAGATAGTCAAGCTGAGCCCTACGAAGAGGCAGTGGGCAAAAGTGAGAGAAGACGAGGAGGAAGGCCGGGCTTTACCACAGTTTCCTTTGGCCAATAAGCTCCTCCCCCAGGGGAATTCTGCCACAGAGGGGTAGCTGAGCACAGGAGAGAGGGAGCCTCCTCTCCAGAGGCCTGGGCCCTGGACAGGGCAGGGCAGAGCCCTTCAGGACAGGTTCATGCCCAGAGCTGAAGGTTTCCATGTCCCTAGGCCACTGAACCTGCCCTCCATGCCCTCTCCCTTCCCCAAACCAGGCCTGGATGGCTCTCCTTAGTTCTATTCCGGAGGTGCTGGAAGAGGCGCATAGAATCAGGCCTGGCTCTGATTCCTGCTTCCCTGTCTGTCCTCTGTGTCTCCTCCAGGAGCCCCGGGAAAAGCGCTGCATGGCCTGGTTGCTGCTGCTGTGGCTGTTGCTGCTGTTCTCAGGTGAGGAGGGGAAAAGGATGAAGGTGTGATGGGGACCGCTGTGAGGGGAAGACAAGTAGCATGTGGCCAGAGGCCTGGTGTGTGGGCAAACCCTATGCACGACCATGACCCGTCTGCGACCTTGTTCTCCAGGATCCCGGGCCCACTCTCAGGTGCCGGTAGTTCAAAAAGTGGCCGGGCAGGCGTTCTCTGTGAAGTGCCAGTACCCACCCACGAGTGGGGTCTACCAGAAGAAGAGTTGGTGCAAGGAGAGATCACCCATTAAGTGCGCCAGGTTAATCAGTAGCTCCAATCCCTGGACGCAGATTCAGGTGTCAAGGTTCTCAGTGTGGGACGACCCCAGTGCCGGCTTCTTCACCGTGACCATGACTGCTTTGAAAGAAGACGACCCTGGGCGCTACTGGTGTACCGTATACCACCCTGCCGGTATCTCCATCGCCATGTCCTCCAAATTCGACCTGGTGGTGTCTCCAGGTGAGCCCCTCTCCTGGCCCTAAGGGAAGGCCCTCCGCTCCCTTTGGATGCTTCTATGACCTCTGTTTCACTAGTCAGGGTCTCCTGGGGAGGGCTGTTGGGAACAGAACCCTGGAGACAGGCACAGGTACACTCAGCCGCCTCACTGGTCCATCTCCACGTCTTACAAGCCTGCTTACCTCGGAGATGCCCAGACGCATCAGCTGAGCAACAGAGGCCATAGCAGCCTGCCACGTGGAACCTGAGATTTCTCAGTGGATCTGGTACACAGTGGATGCTCAATCGATCTGTGCTCACTGGCTGCCAAGCAATCTGGACTTTGGGGAGTTCGTGGCTGTGTGAACTTGTTAGTATAGGTTGGGGTCTATTCATCCCTCTGTGTCCAGATCAGGGTCAGCAAGCTGAAACCCCAAAATTACAAAAGGGTTTTGACTATATGACTGTACTGTTGAGCTGGATACTTGAAAAAAAATCTGGGCTTAACCACATATATTTGATCATGTTAAAAATAGTATTTTGGTTACTTTTTTAATTATTTAATAACCACATGATTAGAAGAAGCATTTCATTACAGCATTAACATGTTCAATAACAATTTCCAGGGCAAGGATGCATCTCTTTCAAAATTGGCTCTAAATTTTAGGTTCACAGTTGAATTAATACAGTTATACAATATTGAACTCAGTATAAACCCTATAAGACATAAAATTGAATGAGGTTTTAACCTTCAAAAAAGATCTCCATTTCATTTTTAAATATACTGTTTCACACAGAAAAACTCATTTTTAATGTTATTTTAATGACACTTAGATGTTTGCACACGCGTCTCTAATCTCTATGTATCTGATCATTACTAGATAGTCGGTTACTTTCTGAGATTCTTGGCACCTGAACATGGATATAAAATCATCAGGTAGATTTTAATGGTAATGTGTTTCACCTCACCTAATTAACATGAAGCAAATTTTTATGCTTCTTCCTCAAATATAACTCATTTTTTATTTGTTGATTTTTTTGTGTGTATTTCATACAGAACATACCGAACAATCTTATTCATCTATATACTCACATCCCAAATGGCACCCTTCCATAGCCTCACCCCTCCATTGGAGCCCATATACTCTGTCATCCCTGTTACTGTCCACTGTGTTGTTGGTGTCCCCAGCTGTCCCCCAGTGCTTGTCCATCCGCAGAATCTAGTCAGCCTCTCTAGAGATCCTTGTTTAGGAAGATCGGCTCTTCCTCATCTAGCAGCAATCAGTTGCCAATATTCCTTTAGATAAGATTGGGGTCTGCTGTTCTTTGTCCCAGTTTTATGCTGGGTTACTGTCTGGGAGTCTCTTGGGTCACCCTGGCAAACAACTCAAAGGAAGGTATCTCCTGTCTGGCATTGTTTTGTGTTATGTAGCCTTTAGCTATACACATGGACTCTTAAATAATTATACTGACTGCTTTAATCTTTGGTTATACTTTCCTTTTGAGTGTTTAAGACCATACAGTTGTCCCAGATAACCCAATTTATTTTTACTCTTAAGGTCATTTGAGGATCTGTTTCTCAGGGGTCTCATGGGCTTGGGAGGAGCCCCTGGCTCTTTTCTTTTACAAGTTCCATTTATGTGACGATAAGTCAAAGGTCCTGCTTGACCGTGACTGGCTTCACTTGGAAGCATGGAAGAAATGATTCCTCTGAGTTGACCCTCCTCTTTGTAGAGTGGACACTGGTTCAAGTCCATTTGGTGGGGCCTCCATGGCCTCCTCGATCAAGAGGACAGGTGACTCACCACAGTTACAGGACATTTTGAGAGATGCTCATAGTCCACTGGAACTTAGTCGACCTAAGAGGGCAAAGAGAAAAAACTGTCCTTTATGTCCCTCTCACCAAATTAGTATAGACCTCAAAGTATGGCTGTTAGACATCCAAGAAGGTTAGTTCCACCAGTCTGGTACTTTTAATTACTATGTGCCATGTAGACAAAGCTTGGGCAAAGACCAACAGTTCTCAGATAAACCTTACCTAGACATGTATTATATTCCTTGAGATAGTGGTATGTATAATTTGTCAGTAGGTTATTCGATTAATATGATTCCCTCTGGTTTTTTAAAAAAACTAGCTAGGCATTATTTATCTCTCTCATTGTCTAACCCTCCACTATGGAGTCCCCATTTAAAGTACCCCCATTTTTCCCATTTCTCCCTTAATAATACCCTTCTCCTATGGTTCCACCTCTCTTGAGCTCCTTCTTTCCCTTTATCCCCAAAGTTCCTTGTATAATCCTCCCTCCCCCCTCCTTAAAATAACCCCATTTTTAATTGATAGCTCCCTTATTAACGCCTGTTTCCTACTGTTCTTCTCTTTCAGATTCTTTTTCTTTACCTTCCTTGGTTCAAATCTTTTTTTTATTGCTGAAATCTATTATTTATTTCTCCTATTAATGTATATTATTAATTAGAAAAAGAAAATATTCAAAATTGAACAATAAAAATATATGAAATCTTATACTCTTTAGGTTAAACAATTACTTTAAAAAAATTCATGCATGAGTATTGTATTAACATTATTCCCATCCCTCCCAGTCCCCCTCCAACTCCTTCCATGCCCCCACCC